TTCTGTAGCTGCCTTGAGATCACCGAACGTGAAGCTCTTCATGTTGGATGACTGAAGTATTCTTTTCTAGAAGTCATGGGCTCGGATGCTGGACACTTTTGCTGCTCGAATAGCTTGACTCGGGCCCATCTCCGTCATCGGTTTCGACGATGGATTCAAACCTACATTTGGAATAGAGAACAAGACAGAGAACTATGGGTACAGTATATTTCAATTTAATGGATTTGAAGCAAGAAATTAGATGAAGCTTTCAATGAATGAATTGTTTTTAAAGGGAAGAGCTTGTTTTTCTGAATGTATTCAAATACTCTCTAAAGCCATGATCTGGTTTAGTCAAGTTAATTATATTGGATTTCAAGATTTGGAGAAAAAAAATTTGGGTCAAAATGCCACCTCAAAACAAGTTGAATAAATAACCTACATTTTAAAGAAAGGCCTCATTCACCACGATACTGATAAATTTCTCTGTGTTTCAAATAAGAGTAACAGTCAGAGAGGTACTACTCTCAGCAGGATATTTTTTACGTTTCAAAATGCCTATGACAGTTCTTTTTTGATGATCGTTTATTTTTAATTTTTTTCAGGCATCCTCACAATCCAAGTGTTATATTATACAAATCAAGATAAACTAAAAAATGACATATCATAACATAAATATGCATTTTTATTACAAATGTATGATGAGTCGACTCGGCTAAAGGGTTACTCCGACTTGCACCAAAAATTGTGAAAGTCCAAATGTAAATAGTATAGTCATGAAATTTTCATGGCAGCTACACTTTCCCATTGATAGTATAACCTTGAACATAATGAAAAAGCAACAGACAAAGTGACACTAATGATAATGAATACGCAAAAGGGAATTCTTGCAAACTTTCAAGAGGAAGACACACACACACACAGAGCTTCTTTAGCTTCTTGATGAGAAAAAAGACTTTTTTTGAGTTTGTAAACATTCATTGAAAAATCAAGGTAAAAAAAGGTATTCAGAAAACAATAACGCTCTTCTGTAAAACAAAAGGAATAACGCTATTTTAAAATAGTGATTCGCTTCTGAATATAGAAAAGAAAAATATAAATATAGCTTCCATTTTTCTTGGCCATTACTAAGTGAAATAAGAACATAACAGCAAAAATTGATATTAAGAAGATTTTAAACAGTTACCTGTATCAGTCTGAAAGGTGCTCTCAGCCTTTATCTCGTTGCTCAAACAAATCCCCATAAAAAAATACCTCCTAAAAATTTCAGACTAAAACTTAGATTTTTTTTTTTAAAAAAAAAAAATTTCTTTTTACTGTCAGTTCTTAATGCAACAAGATTAATCAAACCCAACAGCACTTTCTTCACTTCACTTTTGGCAAAAGGGCTCTCTAATACAAATCCAAAAAAACCTTTTTCCTTTTCTTCTTTATCTTCTTTTATTTTTGCCACACCAAATGCACAAGGAACTGAAACAAGCCTCACTACCAACACAGATCTAATGTAAAACCTCTAAATTTACTCTCTCTCTCAGTTAGGTGCTAACCTTTAGGCTGGTTGATTCGTCATACTTTTTCTTTTAACAAAAAATGCATATTTATGCTATGAAGTGTCATCCTTTTGTTTATGTTGTTTATTGAAATATGACATTTCCGTTTTGAAAGTATGCATAGTTGTTGAAAAGGTATGATTGTTGTCAAACAGTATCCTTATTGGTTCAAATACATATTTATTCCAGTTTATAGCAATAAATATTGAGTTAATTTTGTTTACGGGTTCTAGTACGCACTTATTCTCCGGACCTTCAACTGCTGATATGGGCATCAATGCAAATGGCAAAGTGTAAATCTACAAAAGATCAGGATCAGAGCTAATGAGATGCATCATAGTAAAATAGACCAATCTTGCATTTTTCATATTATATATCAAGAAAAGCTTCTTCTTGGGTGTTGTGTTATGTCTAACACACAACATCTACTCCAATTTGTGCACTATAAAAAGCTAATCAGTAGCTCATACTCATTGATCAATTGGTCAATTGGTCAATAAGACAAATTTGCAAAAGTATCATACATTAACTTTTAACCCACCCATGAAAGAAGAAAGCTTCTCATCTAACAAAAATTCAAGTTTATTATAAGGCCAAATAAGCCTAATGGTTGCAATTTTACGCAATAAGGATAACTAAATATATAAAACCTGAGGAACTTAAGAGGGATAATAACCTCAAGAATGAGATTTAACTTCACGTCTACATCCAAATATTGTTCAGCACCAACAGACTCCCATATTATGTGGTTCCTCATAAAAGCTACAAATATTTGAAAACAAAAGTACATAGTCAATCTTTATGAAAGGCACAAAACAACTCTCACAGGGAAAATGTGTTGAAAAATGAAAAATGTACCTGAAAACTTCTCGTTTTGGCGTTCCATGAACTCAGAACCTTCAAACTGTGCAAAAGAAAGAAAGAAATATATAATTTCCGCATCGTATCATAGATAAGTTGTTAGTTAAGCAGCTGCCATTTAAATAATCATCAATCTTTGATTCTGCCAAGTGGGTAATGACGAGAGATGCAAAGTCTGCAACATAAATTCGAGAAACAGGCAAATCCACCACAAACGATATAACAAGTGTGGGGAAAAATGTTACGAAGCTTACCTTTGCAGGACAACATCTCAACTCACAATCTTCGCCAGTTGGAATCACTTGTAAGTCCAACACTGGTGAAACTCTAATGCTCAGAAATTTTATTTGTGGAAGAACACACCTGCATTTAGATTGAATATTTCGTAAAAACGATACAGGAACAAACAAAAGTAACAATTATGGAGCGTGTTCAAAGGATATCTTAATTTGAAAATTCTAAAAGCATGTTTCTATTTTGTGTTCTGCTACATATGTTCTATTTCATCCACAACGGCCGTGATGTGTAACATATCTTCCAACCGTCAATAAGACACTAACATTATGTTTATCTGAACACTTTGCCATTCTTCCGAATGAATAAAGTCTTTGACATTCTTCCGAACGAATAAAGTGGAGGAGGCACATCAAAATTTTGTTGGAGTGATTAGATATTTCAAACTAAATTTAGTACCGAGACTGAGTAGAAAACCAATATTGATTTCTTTTCTTCCCTTATTGGATACACAAATTGAACTATTTTCTAAACTTCTCAAAGATTATTTCACCAAAATAAAAATAAAAAAATGCCAAGTATATATGCATATTGTGGAGAGAGAGAGAGAGAGAGAGAGAGAGAGAGATATCATATACCTATACAAATTGGAATCGAAGAATTGATAACTCCGCAAGGCACTTGTGTTCAAAATTTTCCGTTCCAGATGGATGAATGAAGAACTTACTAATATGGTAATTTTCATTTTCTCCAACCCCATCACCATAATTAGGAAGCTTAATGCTTCCTTCTTTCTGTCACCCAAATTAGCTTTCTTTCAACCTCGCTCGGACAGAACAAAAAGGATTTTGTGCAACAAACTCCGATGTATTCATACAAGAGAAGTAAGTACCTGAGTCTGGGATAATGAGCATGAAATTGGGAGCAAGGGTGAGGGTCATATTTTACCCGTGCTCTCGCCTTTTTTCACCTGCTTGACAACAAATCAGTCATCATCATAATCACACACACACACACACACACAAAATTGCGATTCAGCTAGTGTATTGAAAATAAAAAATAAAAAAAAGATGAAAAACACACAGATTGACGACTGAATCTGAAGAAAACGAAGGAAAAACGCAGAGAAAAAAAAAAAAACTTACGTCCTTTGTGGATGAAAGTCAAAAAAATCGTCTCCCTTAATTCGGATTGGAAAATGAAGAAGAATGAATCCCCTCTTCTCGACTTTTATAAGAATATACAGTCCCACTTGGTGAACCCTTTATTACCCAAAAAATGAACTTACGTGAAACTTGGACTCTCGCAGATTTTCTAGTAACTCGGTTATCTTACGCTGCTTCGTCACAGTTGAATTCAATGCCTAAAAAGCACACTCACATAAGTTGGGACAAAATTCATTTAACTATCAAATATGCCTAACATACTCACTACTTACCCTTTTTGTCTGCTCGAGGTCAGACTCGACTGATTTTATCCTGTCGAGCGATCTATAAAGCAACTGCTCCTTCTCCATTGGGATTTGGACAGGCTTTCTCACGAGTTCCTCTAACAAATTTTCCAATCTATGGAGACTCTCTATGCAGGGGACTAAGGCCTCTGAGCCGACAGGTTAACTAAATGATCACACAGTAAAGTTCAGATTATGCAGTTGCACATTGGATATACACCAAAAATATCTGTAATCTCATTAAAGATAGAGCACATAAAATAAACAAAGCAAACTAAACCCCAACAATTAGAAAAATCTAAAATCACAAAACTTCAGTAGCAACCCAAATAAATGTTGTAAAATGAAAACAATAAACTTTCCTGCTTATCATCCTAAGTGATGTTGATTATTAATCCATTACAACAGAGTCTATATCATATGCGCCATTAAAACTCAATCAACAGAAAATAAAATCCCTAACCGATAAATATTGCAAATTTCAAAATGATCTGAACAAAAAAGATGAAATCTACCTATCAAACACACGAAAATGAAGCGCCACAAAAATTTAGTACAAAGATACCAAATCCACAGAGGTCGCAGGATCCAAAAGAAACGACGACGTAGAGAGGCTGAGAGAGCATCTGGAGAAGGGAGACATCGCGCAGAGCCATCAGGGAACGCCCTCCTCGTCCATCTCCAGACGCGTTTTCTTCAGCGCCATAACCTGCTCCGTCGCCACCGCCGTCGATGATCTCCAGCGACCTTGACGCCATCTCATCGTCGTTCTCCTCTCGCTCTCTTCTCTTCTCGCTCGAGCCAGACAACGCGCCGTTCGACTACGCCGCCGCCATAACAGTCGATCGCCTCCCTGTGGAGGCGCATCTTCAGTGAGCCCGAGCCGCTCATCGACGCCAGAAGTGGTGCGTAGCTTCATAGACGACGATTCGGTGGCCATAGATCTCACGGGGACTGGCTTGGATCGTGTGATAGCTGCGGTGTGTCAGTATCACCTCCGATGATTTGAGTGCACCGGGCAGAGAAAGAGGGCCGAAATTGGGGATAGAGAAGAACATACAGCGGTGAGAGAAGAAATGAAAGTGGGAAGAAAATCAATCTGTAAAGGACCGCTTGCGTGAAAGAATTGCAAAAGCTTTCGTGCAGAGAAAAGGTTGTCAGAATGAATGGACGAACATAGGCTTCAAGTCTTGGATTCTAATGAACGACTATAAAGGCAATTTCGTCTTTTTAGGTTTTACATCCCCAAAAATTCGGCCTCCATTATTACTTATAAAAGCAAATAAGATTGAATTACCAAAAAACCTACATACTTTGTAGTAGAAGAAGATTAAAAAAGGGCATTAAAGTAAATGTAAAGTGGTAGAGCTGTAAATAAAGTGGTGAGCAGTGGACATATGCATTGAAGCGGCCATTTGTCAAAATCTACGTGGTTAATTGGTACGACTGATAGATACATGAAATGATCACTATATATATATATATATATATATATATATAATTCAAATAATTCTGAAATATTTTGGGAAAATCTATATCTATATACATATAAAAAGGTTTGATATTTACCTTTAAAAGTAACTATTTTCCCGCCTATAAAATTCAATTTTACTTTTTTTAGTAAGTTTTCTAAAAAAAATTAGAAATGGGCGGTAATTTTTTGAAATTTAAATTAAGAATATCAATTTAGAATCTGTACAAAATTCAACAAGTCAACAATTGCAGCTTACTATATAATAGTGTATTCATGCGTCCAAAATTACTATTACAAAGGAAAGTAAATAAATCAATGTAATTTATACGTAATCTAATATGGCCGAATATCTTTTGTAATCTGGTCGAATAAAAAGACAAAATCTGGTAAAAAGGCAGACTTCATATTCCCAAATTGCCTTCCATAAATTCCTTTCCGAATGGCAATTCTAGCAAACAAATCTGCAATAATCAAAGATTATTTCCGAAAAAGTAATACAAAATACTTTTTCTATTCGTCAAAGATTGATCAAATCTGCAAATATAACTAAATAGCCATATAAATCAAATTGGTTGACTAAATATAGTTGCCACATTAATGAAATTTACGTGTAT